TAAACCCCTCTTTCCTCCAACAAATGAATCAAAGACAGAATGGAATGCTGGGAGAAGATAAAGTTACTGCACTAGACCTAAATATTTATAGCTTTTATATACCTGGAGCAAAAACTGCAATGGCTCACTGCAAAAATCACAAAGACTAGACTTCTCCGAAGGCAAATTAATTGGGTCCAACCAAGCCTACATTAGCAATAAAACAAGTAATCCCCATTTTGGAAAATACTAAATTAAAACTCTTTCCTTCCTACATTCAATCTCTTCTACTTCAAAATCATAAACTTTAGCTGCACTTTTGGCAGCATCAAGTATTGGCAACATATTTTGTAGGAGTGAACAGAAAAGGTCAACATTTTAAGCACTGGCAGTGTATATAAAATCAGGTAAATAATTCCACTTATATGAACATAAATTTATGAAGTAATGTGATATTCTGCAGTGCAAATAGCCTCAACGGGTGGTGGGATATTTCACCGTGCTTGAAATTGAATATTTACCTATTTTCTTGACAGAATGACTCTACATAAAACATGAAATTTTTATCTTTTAAGCACAGCCAAACATGCTGTAAAATTTGAAAATTTTAAGGTATATGATATCTTGTAGAGAAATCATGTGAGAAAGAATCCGCAGAATTACCGGAGTGCCACCAGCTTTGCTTGGGAAATACTGGCGGAGTAATGACCAATTATTTTTCGGCTTCTCGACAAATCCTAATATTACAGGAACTTGTTCTTCATCATCTTCATCTTCTTCATTGTATAGATCTGCATCATCAGTTTCATCCACTTGAGCTTCGTCATCTTCTTCTTCATCATCAAGAGATGATATGCGCAGAGACTTGAGCTTCTCTTCACTCGCAAATTCCATTTCCCACGTTCTTTTTTTTTTTATTATTATAATTTTCGTTTATTGATAACAAAAAAGATAAGAAATCAAAAAATTGAAAAATATTGGGGCATACACATTCAAAGCTAGATAATCACGTAAAAACTATTCAAACTAGCATAGATACTCAGTGGTGGAAGAAAACATTTTTAGTTAGGGGAACACAATCAAACTTGGAAAAAAGTTGTGAAAATAATAAAGCATTCGATGTATTATTAGAGAAGATAGATGTAAGTTAACTTCAAGTCTCAAATAAAGAAAAGGACAAGGCAAGTATGTAATAGAGTATGTCTCACTTGGTTTAACTTTTCTTCTTCTTCTTTTTCTTAGCTTCTGAACATTCCAGATGCAAGTTCAGATAAAAAAAGAGAGAAAAAGAAAAACCTTAACAAAATGATGTCCAGACCAAGAAAATAGATTTTAATAATAAATGATTAGAAGAATGTTTCACCAAAATAGAACTGACCATTATCTCAAATTTCAAATTCCAAGAATCGAAGCAATCATGTTCGCAAGTTGATACTAAAAAGAGGTTGGAAAACTTGCTGATAAACCTGATCCCCCAGAGTAGTATTTCATCAAAATACAGTGTGAGACACATGTATAAAGATTTAATTCTCAACCCCTTCAGTCTTTGATGGGTAATTTTGGAATCACTTATAGAAATGCTCCCTACCTCTTAATTACTGAAAGAAGGAGAAAGAAATGCTTCATCTCCCAGAAACTAAAGTAGAATCAACCAATTTTTATAGAAAAACGCAGCTGGTGACCAAACAAAGGATTGCCTGTAAAATATCCATCAAATTAAATTTGAGAAGAGAAACTGTCAATACCTTTTTAAAGACACGTGGAAACAGTTTCGAAGAGCAGGTTCACTTTTCAAGTTTTAGTAAATACTGGCAATTAAAATAACTAGTCAGGAAACAAGACATAAAATCTGTATGGTTATTTATAAAGAAGGACCATGGTATAAAAAGGCGATAGTGAGGCTCGCCTCACTGTGAAGTGCATGTAGTATGCCTTAAGGCGATATTTTTTAGGCTAAAAATATGAGGCTCACGCCTCTAAATCTAAGACGCACGCCTCAAGGTGAGCACCTCATGGAGAATGAGGTGTGCTCCTCATTTAAAATTTGATTTTTCAATTGTATGAAAAGAAATCAGAAAGGAATCTTCTTAAAAAAGGAAAAAAGCCCATTTAAAAAGGTATTTTGGGCCCCAAACAAAATAATAAAATACCTAGAAAACTAAACGGCAGCCAAAAATTAGAGGACCAAAAAGGGAACAGATTCAACAAAAATTCAAAAGTCAGAATTCAAGAAGAGTATCATCTTCTTCATCGGTTCATTTGGTATGTTTTTCCTCTTTTCTTTTTCTTTTTCTTCTTAGGGTTCAATATTTCTTGCATTCAATTAGTTGCTTCATATACACGTCTTGAAATTATAAATTTTATATATGTTTTGATTTATATAATTAACGCACACACGATTTCATTCAATCACTTGTATAAACTCTAAAACTACATGAAGATGATTTTGTAGAAATTGAGAGTAGCGAAGAAGATGATGGGAAAATTAAATATGATGATGATT